GTGGGACACAATTATAAGAGGGACTTTATCTAACAAATGCAGTCAGTGTCAACTAGTTCTTTGTACCTTCAGTGAATCCCAGACAATAAAAAAAATAGATTGTTTTTAAAAATCCCAAACAGAAAAAAAGAAATGTCAAAAGCCCTTAGACCGGAGTTCATACAGTTTTCTTAGAGATAGTTAATCCTTATTCCTCAACTTTGAACAAAGTTTTAACCAGGTGCTTTGTTCAGTCCAGAATCCACCTGGATATGAGAAGAACAAGAGACTGCTTTGAATGATGCCTTTTCTAGTTGTGAGAAATGATAGGTGATCAGGAGACAGAAGGAAAGACCAGAAGAGCACAGTGAGAACCATGTGCAGCATCTGTGACTTACCCCACGAGAGGGCCCTGCCTGCCTCACCAGGGGCAGTGCTGCTTCCACACATGCCTTTGTCTGAGTAAAGAAGCTAGTAAGATGTGCCGTAACACTAGCATTAGGAGGCTAACAGGTGCACCCCGGGAAGAGTGAGCTCTGGTGTTATCTCAGGCCGCATCTACAGAATCAGAGCCAGGGTTTTAGATTGGGTTTACCCTCATTGTATTTTATATCTTACTTTTTTCCTGCTTCATTAGATTGCTTGATTTTGATGTCATATTATCACCTGGCATAACACAAACAACAAATCCTAGCATTTCTTACATACCTGAATTAAATTAGTTTTGAAGTTTCCAGAGAGAAAATTCCCTTTACCCATTTTAGCAAAAGGAAGGTTATAATAATGTGATAAATCCAATGTTCAGCCACATTTCCATTTCCATTGCTATTGCAGTTGAGTTCTGCATCTGTGGATTCAACCAGCTGCAGGTCAAAGATATTCAGGATGGGAGAGAACAAAAAATAACAATACAATAATACGAAATTTAAAAAGCAGAATAGCATAACAACTATTTATATAGCATTTACATTATACTAAGTATTATAGGTAATCTAGATATGATTTAGGATGGGTATAGGTTATATGCAAATATACCATTTTATGTTAGGAATTAGAGCAGCAGGGATTTGGGTATCCTTGGGGGTCCTGGAACAAATTTTTCACAGATACTGAGGGATGACTGTATTAAAAATAAGAGTTTATTACCACTTGTGGTAGATCTCTGCTTGTAATTTTATTTCCTTGGGGTCAAAGCACATACTTTTATTCTTGCTTGTCCTTTTGTGTAGGAGAAAAGAAAGTAAAAAATAATATAATGCTGGGAGGCAGAATTTTTTTGTTTTTTGAGATAGGGTCTCACTCTGTCACCTGGGCTCTCTAGAGTGTGATGGCATTATCATAGCTCACTGCAGCCTCACACTCCCAGACTCAAGTAATCTTCCTGCCTCAGCCTCCTGATTAACTGGGACTACAGTTGCACACTGCCACGCCCAGCTAATTTTTCTTTTCTTTTTTTGCTAAGCGGCCTAGGCTGGGTTTTAACCTGCCTATAGTACACAGGGCCAGCACTGTAACCACTGACCTACGGACACCCTAATTTTCCTGATTTGTAGAGTTGGGACTCCATCTTGCTCAAGCTGGTCTTCAGTTCCTGGCCTCCAGCAGTCCTTCTGCCCCAGCCTCCCAAAGTTGTAGCTAGGCCGACTCTTAAAGTGGCCGCTTGTTCAGAAGCCGTCATCTTCATGAAGTTGTTTTCAGTTAGCACTTGAATTACTCTAAGATCCATATCTTGAAACCCTTCCCCGCCCACCTTTTTGCCATACTCAGAATGTCTGTCATGATTTCCTTGATTGGCTGTTATAAATCCTATGAAGTCATGCATAACATCTGGACACAGTTTTCTCCAGCAGGAAGTTTCTGTTTTGGGCTGGATGGCTTTTTCTGTAACAAGGATGACATCTTCAATGGTGTAATTTTTCCAGACTTTCACAATATTCTGTCCGGGTTCTCTTCCATGGCATTGGCAATCTCTTCCATAGAGTATCACTTACAATGAGCTTTTAAGGGTCTTTACAGGCTTTTTCTTTTTTAGTAAAGACAAGCATCTCTAAACATTTTTGGAGACATTGTGCTTGGGGACAGTAGACCACTCTGATACCTTTGGTGTTGAGCTCATAGGGTTCTGAGTGGCCAGGGGCATTGTCCACTATCAGAAGAACTTTCATAGGCAGTTTCTTGCTGGCAAGGAACTTTTGGGCTTCAGGAGAAAAGCATAGATGGAACCAATCCAGAATTAGTGTTCTCATTGTCCAGGGGCCTTGTACACCCAAGAGACTGGCAGCTGGTGTTCATCTTTTCTCTTTAAGGCTCTGGGGTAAGCAGCTTTATAAAGGTAGTCCTGAGAGTTAGCCTGCCCTTCTTTGCCTTAAATCCTGGTCATCACATCTCTTCTTTACTAGTAAGTATTCTTTGTGGCTTATTTCCCCCAGCATGAGGCATACTCTGGTCTGCATTAAAAACCTGTTGAGCCAGGTATCCTTTCTCCTTGGTGATTTCTCAGTGGTGTCTGGGAACTCATCTGTTGCCCTATGGTGGGCAGTGACTGCTTCTCTTATTCCCTTGACACTTTCTAAACCACGCTTCTTTTTAAAATTATCAGATCATCCTTCGCTGGCATCACATTCTCCAGCTTTAGATCCTTTTGCTTTAGGTTGTGACATAATGACTGCTTTTTCTCAAATCTTATTAATTTATAGACATACTATTCTTATAGCAATCTGGTACCTACATAAAAGCTACTCTTTCAATATGGGATAAAAAGGCATTTCACAAAAAGTGCAAGGTCTTCATGCCTAGTGGCATAGCTTCCGGGGTAGCTTCAGGAATTTTTT